GGAGGTTCTCCTGGGTTTGGGATGGGCAGGTGCTGGGCCATCACTGTGGCCAGGGGCTAGGAGGTTCTCCTGGGTTTGGGATGGGCAGGTGCTGGGTCATCACTGTGGCCAGGGACTAGGAGGTTCTCCTGCATTTGGGATGGGCAGGTGCTGGGCCAGGCCCACTCTTTGTCACTGCCATGGTTACCTGTTTGTCGAGAGTTGTCCTCTGGCATACTTGCACTGTCCTCAAGGCCTGCCAATTACAGCCTCAGAGGGTGGGTGGATCACCAGTCCTGTGCCCTCAGTGGGATGCTTGCAGCTGCCTTTGATAACATCCCACTTGGGTTTTTCTCCTTTAAAGAAAAAATAAGACAAAACAATATAAGACTTGACTGTGAGATGTCCCCAGGCAGGCCTGTGGAAGCCTCCCCGACCCCATGCATGCCTCACTGGGGTTCCTGCCTTTTTTCTTTACTCTTCTGACAGAGGGACAAGGTATCCAGGGCGCCCTTCATCACCTTCTTCAGAGTGCAGTTCTACGTGAAAAACGGGAGGGCGATCAGGTAACTGCACTGCCCGGAGGGGAAACACAAGCCGCAAGACGGGCAAATGCCTTCCAGCAAGCTCGGGAAAAGAGAGGTCCCATCGCAAGGATGTGATCTCTGCTCGAGGAGGCACGTGTCTCCATCTGGTGGCTGAAGTGGCTCTCGGAGTTGAGCTTTAAATGGGAGTTGTGTTTCCTGCCAGGTGTCCCCAGGTCCGCTTGGGCAGGGAGGTTCTTGGGAAGGGTGAGTACAGAACCGGAAGGCTCTTGCTTTCCGATCAATGGGCTGCCTCGGTACCTGATGACAGGAAACAGCGAACTCTTTAGGGACCATCAAAGAACTAAATATTCTCCAAGCAGAACTCTGGGAACCTACCAGCGGGGCTTGAGTGTCCTTAGGATGCCCTTTGGCAAGTACAAATCTGGTGTTGGCACCAGAAAGGGTGAATGAGGGTGTGGGAGATTCTGGAGTCCGAGGTATGTGACTACAGAAGGCTCTAGGGAACGAGGGCACTCGTAGCTAACTGAAGAATGTTCTAGAGTGTGAGAACACGTGGCTTTGTGGAAAGTTCTAGAGACATCTCAGCAGGGAAAAACACGATGGAGGCTGCTGCACGGTTGCCTGTACTGTGGTGAGCAGCCAGGCTGCTTGCTATATTAGCAGATGCAGGAGAGGTTCGCAGGAGGTATGTGCTGCTTGGCGTTGGCCGACGGTACTGGCAGGCAGACTGGCTGGCTGGGAGGCAAGTCTGCGGCATGGGTTTGCCCCTGTGCCCTTACTCAGGAGCCCTCTCAAATGGCTCCGCTTGTTCCTGGATCCCAGCTGCCGGAGGGCTACACCCGTAGGGACAGACCTCGTCCCTGCTTCAAGCCCCTGACTTCATCCCTGTCTCACTAGGAAGTGGCCACCAGCAGTCCTCAGAGGCCTGCGGACCAGGAAGCCAGGCCTGGGAAGGGCGGGGGGGGGGGGGGGGGGGGGGGAGTGGGGGGGTGGAGGGGGTGCCGTCCTGGCCGCGATGGGGGATCCACTCTTCCTGAGCCCTCCGCCCCTCTGCCTTGCAGTGACAAGACAGCCCGGCACCTGTACTACTGCCACCTGAAGGAGCAGGTCCTGAGGTCCAGGTGCACGCACAGGGAGGAGGCCTACTTTCTGCTGGCTGCCTGTGGGTTACAGGCTGACCTGGGAGACCACCAGGAGTCGGTCCATGTGGGCAAGTACTTCGAGCCACACGCCTACTTCCCACAGTGGGTAAGGAGGGCTGTGTGGTGCCCTCCTTGGGGCGGGATGGGGGGCAGTGATGTCTGCTCACCAAGAGAAAACTCTGGAATCTATGAATAAGGGGACAATGAGGGGCTAGGGAGGGGCAAGGGCGTGGAAACGGAGCGGCCCAAGTGCAAGGATGCTCACCTATGCAACAATAACACTGCACAGGCTGGCAGCGAGGTGTAGGAACCATGGCCAGAGCAGGCTCTACCTTAGTCCTACGTAAGTCAGCCGGGTCAACAGCCACAGAGTGTCATCCACCCAGACTCTGCGAAGACAAACAAATCCAAGGACCTCGGCCTCTCTGTGCCTCAGTTTCCTCTCACCTACATCCTAGACGGAGACGTCTTGAGCAAGGGGTACTTCTCCTCTGTGTGTAAAATCCTAGCGTGGCTGCCATGATGGGCAAATGGTCCTGCGGACTGTGGGCCCCGCCCACATTCTCCCCCATTGCCCCACCCCCATGCCTTCTCCTTTTCCGTCCTCTGTGCCTTGGCTTCACCACCTGCCTTGCAGAGCTGTCTCCAATGCCAGGCAGCCTTGCCGAAAGCTTCCCTCAGCCCCCACACACTTCTGCCCCTCATTGGAACCTCAACCCTTTGGTTTCAGTCATGGTTTCCTCATTGGAGAGTTTTCCCAAGAGCCGTAGCTTTGGGGATAAAGGAACCTTCACAAACTTCTAAGGAGGGCTGTTTCTGTGGTCCTTGTGGGCACCTGGGTGACAGAGAGGGGATCAGGACCAAAGATTTAGGGGCATCGCATCCTCACCTTTGGATCTGAGGCTAAGGCAAAAGGCCCAACTCACTCTGCTGAACTTGGGCTCTAGCTAGGAAGCTGGCTCTGACTTGAAGGGTGGTGCAGGGTGTCAGCAAGAGAGAGGGCAGGCTGGGGTCTGAGCTAGCTGGGGGCTCTGTCCTCAGATTATCAACAACAGGGGAGCCGATTACATCCTCAGGCATGTGCCTGCCATGCACCGTGAACAGCGGGGCCTGAGTCCCAAGGAGGCCACGCTACGCTTCATCAGGGATGCCTGCCGACTTGAGGATGTTCCTGTCCACTTCTTCAGGCTGTACAAGGTTGACCCCATGGTGTCGGGGGGTGGGAGGAACCCAGGGCAGGGGTGGGTATATTCCCATGGCTGTTGGTGTGACTAAGACTCCGGGGTAGAGTAGGCAGGACTGTCCTTAGGACCTGGTTGGCATTGATGAGTTGGAGGGTTCCTTGGTAGCTGTCCTGGAGGTGACATGCTGGGTTTCTCTGGTGTTTGAGTTCTGTCAAAGCCAGCTTGCTCAGCCTCCGCTATGACTGGTCTGGTCTAACAGTGGGCTGTTTTGCCTGACCACTCTGCCTGCCCCTCTTGCACTATCTGAGCACAGCATGGCCTCTGTTCTCAGGGACAGCCTCCCACAGGGGGCACCAAGGGTGGAACTTTTGTCTATGAGGTTCACAAAGTTCAAATATCTATGGGAGCATCCCACACATGGGCCCTGGTTGGGCTGCAGGGTGGCCTGGGCTTATGTAAGGCAACAAGAGGAACCTAAACAGAGTTCCTGGTTTGTGGAGCCTCTAGCCTGTTGGACAGACCTCCTTCCACCTGCCCCGGGGCCATAGCCTTAACCGCTGACCTGTGTCCTTTCAGGAAAAGAAGGACGATCACCCTTCCATCCTCCTGGGACTCACTCTGAACGGAGTGCTCATCTATCGGGTGAGGGTCCTTCCCCTTCTCTCCCCTCCTCCATCTTCTGCTGCCCCAGCCTGTGCTCTGGTTCCCACATGCCTCTGCTACTGTCTTTCAGGAGGCAGATCACGTTCCACAGCTGCTCTTCGACTTCCCCTGGTCACATATTTCGAAGGTGACATTTCTGGTGGGTGTCTGAAGTGGGGGAGCATCCACAACACCCAGGAGCCCTAAGAACAGAGAACCTGCAGCTTCATCCTCAGGATAGGGTCAGGAGCTCCCTACGGCCTCTCCCCACCTCCAGGCATCTCCCAGTCCTGTTGGTCCTCATGGCAATTTCTGGCGGCCTAGCCACATTAAGCCTCTGAGAGATGTATAGCTCTGGCTACCACCTATTTCTGAGCTCCCACTAAGCAACAAAGAGAGAGAACATGGTACCTTAGCGACGCACTCACCTCGCAGCTCCTGTCCTTCTTACTTATTCCCAAAGCTGTCTCCACTGGAGAGCAGGCTGGCTCTGGACAGTGACCAGGGTTCTCTGCGAATCCTGGGTTTAAGACTTGTGCACAGGGAGGTCCTACATAGGAGGGTTGTCCCAGGATCCTTCTACCTTCTCCAGGCTGGGGACAGATGGGACTGAGTCACAGTGACCAGAGACCTGTTTCTACAGGGACACCAGCTCTCTACACTGGTGGGCAGGGCACAGTCGGGGCTTATGGCTGACATAAAGTACTTCTCTCCTGCCGCTGGGGCAGTTTCCTGGACTGTAAAGTCACATTGTCCTTCCTGTCTGTCCAGGGGAAGAAGCTGGAAATCCGGCCAGAAGGGCTGTGGGCAGCCCAGAAGCTGCTGTTCTACACGGGCTACGCCTGGCGCTCCCGCTACCTGCTGCAACTGCTTCGCACGACCCACCAGCTCCACCTCAGCTTGCAGCCCATGCTGCGGTGGTTACAACGGCTGGAGGAGGCAGAAGGTGGGTACGATATCCACCTGGGTCTGGGCGGCACCTAGCGGACGGCCACACATCCTCTCCAGGGCCTGAGATATAGCGAATCAGTCCTTGAGGCTGGCTGACTGTTCTGGGCTCGGCAGCCAGGCTGTACCTTCTGTTACATTCATCATTGCTGGTAGTCACTGTCTCCTATCTCCCCCCCAACCCCCCCACCCCCGCCACTCCCGTGTTTGGATGAAAAGTGAGGATGATCCATCCCTCACTTCACTCCACACATGATTCTACAGGGTCTTATTCCTCGCATCCTTAGCCCTACAAAGAGCCAGAGACACAACCTGAAGGGAGGCCAGCTTGGTGCTGCCCCAAGTCCCGGTGTCCTCTCCTTTTCCAAGTCTCTGCTAAGAGGAGACGTGCCTTGCCTCACACTGAAGCCCCCACAGCAAAGGCAGGAGAGAGGGAGGGAAGGAGGGAAAGGGAGAGGGAGGGAAGGAGAGAGGGAGGGAAGGAGGGAGAGGGAGGGAGGGAGGGAGAACGAGGGAGGAAGGGAGAGAGAAAGAGAGAGAGAGAGAGAAGTGTATCTGAATATATTTGTGAGTCATGAGTGAGTGGGTCTCTGTGCCCGTGTTAGGTGGCAGGCCCTGGGGTTCCCTGAACCTATGGCCCTGTTCAGGACGCCATCTGTGAAAGGCCAGCCCCCACCTTTTTCAGGACTCCTATAAGGAGGAGAGAGGGCTAAGAAAATATTAGATACAATGATAGGGAAGAGGAGAATGACAGAAACACAGGATGGCTTCAGGAGGACCTGGACGATCACCTGGGAGGATTACTACCCAATGGCCCAGACTTTATTCAAAAGGGCTTTTTATAACCATGTCAAGGGGCGGGGCAAAAGACCTTCCCCTTGCTAGATCAAAGCACACCGCACAGCCAAGTGTAGACCCTTCCAAACACCTGGTAACCACACCCATGGTCAAATCATCCCCTATGCAGCCCTGCTGGGTAAAGCAAGCTCAGATTCTCGGACCCTGAGTAATTTGGGCCTCCACAAAGCCCGTGAGGATGCTGGGTGCATATCCCATATCAGTGCATCCTCAGAACCAGCAGATACGGTCTGTTTTCAACTAGTTCTGCCCTGGGTGACAGGGCACTAGGTCTGCTCAGCATGGATCTGTGGCTAAGAGACAAGGTGTCACAGCCTGAAGAACCATCACAAGAGGCTGCTGGGAGGCTGCTGGTGACAAGTTCCATTCACGATTGCCTGGCTGTCACCATGGTCATGCAGGGTTCACACACACACACACACACACACACACACACACACACACACACACACACACACACACACACAGGGTGATGCTTTGCTGCACATACCTAGGCTCTGATGCATCAGCGGGTTGTGGGACTCTGACCAGCACTGGCTACAGGAATGCAGGAGGCACTTCATCTTCCTCTAACATCAGCTCCTGTGTTGTTTTCTACAGAGAAGAAAGGCTGCCGGGAATGCTACATCAGTGACCCCCTGGAGCTGGACCTGGACCCACACAGCAGGAAATGCCTGGGCAATGAGGACGATATGGGCAGCAGACATTCCCTCCTCTCACTGTGCTCCAGAAGCCATGGCAGCTCCCACCCTGCATGCATCAAGCCCAACTTCCAGCACGGGGAGTGTGAGGTGTCTGTGGATGAGCCCACAGGGACCGAGAGGCTCTGTGGGAAGACGCCATCCAGTAGTTCCTGGAGCAGCTTCAGCAGCCAGGACACCTGCGCCAACAGCAGAGGTGAGCTATAGGATCAGGTAACAAAGAGCCTGAGCTGACCGATGCTCATCTGACTCCCTGGGTGCAGGCTAAAATGGCCACTCAGGGTCAGGCAGATCTGTCACTAACACTGTCTGAAGTCACATGCTCAGAGTCTTGTCCAGGCAAAGGGCAGCTGGCCTTGGTCTCTGAAGTTGAGTCCAGACTCCACAGGCTACAGGCCAGCAGAAGGGCCCAAGTATGAAATCATATAAGTGTAGGCCACTGGCTGCTCCCTGGCCTCAGTATAGATGGGCACTGAGAAGGCGCCATTCCCAGCTTCCATGAACAGCAATCTCTGCCTCTCCTAATGCTGACTGGAGCCACTCTGGGGAGGACATGATGTCACATGTCAGATGGAGCCCAGACACCATGGGCTCATCTGGGACTCTGTGCTCCTGTGTGTGTGAAGTCACAGACAGCTTGTGTCTTTCTTGCTGACAGTCCATACATGCAGATGGCCTCATCTCAGACAGTCCTGTGAGGAGGAGCACTTGATCCCTACTTCAGAGTTATGGCAGGAAAGAGCCCAGAGCAGCATGGGCCACAACAGTGAGTATGGACAGTGTTTTCTTCTTGGTCCTGCTCACTCTCCTCATCCTCATCCTCCTTCTCTTCCTCTACCTCTTCTCAGCAGCTCTCCAGAGCCCGTCACAGGAGTGTGAATCATACTGATCAGAACATGGGGCCCAGAAAGCGGAGACCATGCCCCAGGGAAGGTCTCCTCATGGCTCCTGCCCTCTGCCCACCTAGATTTCCAAACTGGGTCCTCTGCACCCTGGAGAGGCCCTCCACAGGCAGCCCAGGAGGTAGAGCCAGGCTCTTGGGAAGAGTGGGTTTGGCAGTGACTGTGCTCCAGCCTCAGAGCCTAAGTGAGCAGGCTTGCTGAGCGGCACACCAGGTCCAGGGCTGTGTGGAGCCCTCAAGAGGCTGGACACATACTTCCACCTTTCACTGACCTCTCATGTGGGTTCTAAAGGGCAGCTATCAGTGCCCCAGGGGCCTAAGACCTTGAGTTCCCACTACCCTAAGGCACCAGAGAGACTAAACAAGAGGCCCCATAAAACCTAGGCAGAGGACGATGTGGGGTCCATGTTCCTGGACTGGCATGCAGGCTCCTGCAAAACATCCCCTGGGAAAAAGAGGAGATCAGGATATGGATGACCAGCAAGTGTGACACTGGACCCACAGAGAGTTAGGCAGAGCTAGAAACTGGGAGGAGAGAGCCTGAGAGGGCTGTCAGAGCAGAGTCCAGGCCTGGAGTAGAGCCAGCGTGTTTAATTGAGGAGCTTACACCCTCCCAAAGCACCCTGAGGCTCTCAGCTAGAGGCTCAGCTTCGAAGGACTGACTTAAAAACGAGGAGATGCCCTTCCAAGAGCCCCACGGACAACACACCCTGTGCATGGCTCTCCTACCTCCACTGTGTGTCAGGGTCCTACCATGGCTGGAAAGCATAACTCTGAGCATCACGGTGGAGGCTGTTCTCAGCTGATGGGACCCACACAGTCTGTGGACAAGTGTGCTTAAGTGAAAGATGGCCATCCTTGGAATCCCAGGTGCTTCCAGGGCTGCTGTGTGGTGACCATATCCAGAGCCGTTCCTGAAAGACTCAAAGTAGTGAGGCTTCACGTTCAGAAAGGCAACCATGGGGAAAGAAGCCCCAGCTGGGCAGCACCCCTAGGGCCAGTGTGGACCCCAAAGGGGCCCTACACTGTGGCATGGAGCCTCCAAAGAACTCCTAGAATGCACCAGAGCCACACAGGAGCCTACAGCCCAGCCTGGGGGACATTAAAGTATCTAGTATATCAGGGAGACGAAGGTGGGCTGGGATATAGAGCTGGGTGGCGAAGGAAACAGGACGAGGTGGCCTGGAGGGAAGCATTTCAGGAGCACTTAGACAGCACACCAACAGCGTGGCCTGTCAGGTCCAGGGCAGGCTGGCCATGCTAGAATCAGAACAGTCTGGGTAGGGCTGGAGTCCTGGAACTGTAGCAGCCCCCAAAGCACCAGTAGTTAGGATGAGAACTACCACACTGCTAAATCTCTCTGTAGGTTGGGGAGGCAGAGGCTGACCGCAGGGGTGACCAGTCCCTCTGCAGCCTGGACGACGTGTGTCTGCACCCCTCTTCCCGACACCTTCTGACTACCTCATCTGGCTACACCTGGGGCTGTGCCCTGCTGGGGCTGCTGGTGCCCCCAAGAGGCCAGGGCTCCTCTCAATGGCAAGAAGTTCATAAACCACCTCCTCCTGTACTGGCCTGGTGAAGATTCACCCCTGCAGGAGTTTTGTGGCATAGGCAAGAGCCACACAGCAGCCCTGTCTGTGCCAGCCAGCCTTGAAGGCGGCTTGGTAGCATCCAGCATCGCCAGCCTTTGGCCAGGTCTGGGCAAGGCAGTCCCTAGCCCTCGACCCTTTCTGCCCACCATATCAGCTGCCTCTTCTTTGCCTGCTCACCTGTAGGAGGGGTGGAGCCAGCTCTGACCTGACCCTAGAGGTAGGGGTGGGCCCTGTCCTTCCTGTCTTGGGCTGTAAGCTCCTAGGTCTCTCTTGGGCCTACGTGTCTGAGAGAACCAGGAGTCAACATTAGTCCTGAAGCGGCTGGCCTCTTGTCTGTGAGAGAAGATGTCATAGTGGGACCTAGGCATTAGAGGGAGCCCTGTGCCTGCAAAACCAGCCTAAGCTCTGATGCCCCAGAGCTGGCTGCACAGTGTGGAGACACTGGCCAGGCTTCTAGATCACAGCTCTGTAGTTCCTGGTCCCATATCTTTCTTGTAAGTGCTGCACCAAACCCAGAGGCCTCTCTTGCAGTGTGGGGCTCAGTCCCACCCAGAATCCCCTGCCACTGCCGATGTAAACGAGACACTATTGGATACAAAGGATCCTTTCCCTTTAAAAGACCCCCTTACCCCTCATCAGGCTATGGGGGCTCCCTCTACCTGGCCATGCCGGCATTGCCAGGCACTGGTATAGGGCTGTTTGGGGGTCTCCTCCACTTCCTCACCATAGGCAAAGAGGTGCGGGGGCCATTATCATGGGCTCTGGGAGACCTGGAGTGTGGTGGGTTAATCTACCCGTGGAGTCCTCGGGACTTTTCCTGCCCAGGGTCTAAAGAAATGCCTGATGTCTCTCTATTTGGACAAGAGGGGACTTGTAGGTCACTGCTGGTCACAAGTTCTTGATCGTTGTGCCCAGCACTGGTGTGAGGGCCACATCTGGACCCCTCATAACTCCCATATCTGTCAGAGTGGAGCACAAGCCGGGCTGGCTGGGTAGGGCGCACTTCTTCATCTCGGCCTCTCCTCCCTGGGCACCCTGAGTCCAGGCAGAGAGTGTGGAGTTGTGCCATCCAACTGGGATGGAGGCTGAGGCGTGACTCCCACAGGGGAGCTGTTTGAACTGAGGGTTCTGTCCCCTGGGCAGTGTGGCATAGAGCAGATTGGGAATTGTGGATAGGAGAGGGCACCCAGGGCTGGCCCAGGCTCTTCCAAAGACCGGTGTGCCCCATTGGTACAAAGTGGGGTCAACGAGCCCCGACTGAGAGGCATACTATCTTCCATTAGAAAAATCTTTGAGAACAAGAAACTGTAGTGTTAGTGGAGGTCTGTGCCAGCTGTAGGTGCCAGGCATGGGGCAGGGCAGGTTTCAGGACATGCCCGCCACACACACACACACACACATGCGCGCGCACGCATGCATGCATGCATGCAAACCCACCACATTCAGGAACAAGAATTCAGATAGACAGTGACTACCGTGACACAAAGCTATCTCGGGGAATCAGGAAGCCTCAGTTTCCCCTTACCACATATGTCCCTGGAGAGCGTGAGCAGGGGTAGTTCCTCCCCCTCACTGGCATCCCTATCCCTCAAGCTCAGGTGAGGTCACTCTGATCCTCCATGTCCTTGCCTGGTCTCAAGCAGGCCACCTGGCCCTGGGGTTCCTAAGTGCCCTCAAGGAAGGAAAACAGCCCGTCTTCCATCTTTATACTGCTGCTCACAGAGCTGGCTCCTGGCAGGAGCCCGTACTCGGCAGGCCCTACGTCTCTGGCTTTGCCAGTGTCTTCTTCACCACAGGGCACCTGTGGAACCGAGGTGCTCCAGACAGAGCTGGGTATGTGCTGGGTAGCACGGCTAAGAATGGAGAGTGACGGGTTAAGCACCGTCACGGTGTGCCCTCCTCTGGACCTGGAAACGCATGTCTGCCCTTCCTGCGGGAGCACGGCCTGCTGGTACAGCTGCTTTTCATTTTGTCTGGGACTAGAGCATTGAGAGCCCAGCTGGGCCTTCCAGTCCTCGGGGAGAAGGCCTTGTGCTCAGTTGTCCCCTTGGCCCAGAGACTGTGGTTTTCAATACTCCCAGGAGCGGCGGAGGCCAGTTCAGCTCACCCTTCGCGTGTGTGCAGCAGCTGGGGCTTTGTGGAGGTCGGGGCCGGTGCCCCGCGTCTTCACAGACAAGAAGGCAAGACCACTGGCTGACCCTGAGAAGCCACTTGGATCCCACAAGGATTCCTATTTCTGTCCTTCCGCTGGGCCTGTGGACAGACATGGGGAACTGTGCCAAGTGTCTCTGACCACCAGATTGTACAGAGCAGCAGACTGAGGTCGTGATCCTTAGGGCGCGGAGGGATGATTAAAGGCCAGGCTCTCTCCATGCCTCTATTCAAGAGGGTTCAACGAAGCAAGCAAGGAAAGGTGGGGGCCGAGGTAAAGTCCCCAGGCTCCTTCCTGTGTTCCTCTGTGGGGCTAGAAAGAGAAAGCCACCACTCACAGTCCCTCTGGTCCCTAGTTCCCTAATGCAGAGAGGCTTGCCATAGTGGCTAGTCTCATGGCAGGGCCAGGCCCAAGGTAGAGCTAGCTGTCCAGCTTCAAGAGGCCCTCCCAGGAGCATAGGTGGCCAGCTACAGCCACCCAGCAGGAGCGTTTCCGCAGTGTTCACAGGGACTAGAGCACGAGAGCCTGCTGTTAGGTCCTGGTGCCCAGTGGGAAAAGGGGACAAGGACCTCTGGGTGGGGTGTGCAAACAATGGTGGCTGCTTGTGTGATGTGGACAACAGAGCAGACCTACACAGAAGTCCTGACCCCCTCCTCAGCGGGTGGAAGCCAGAACACTGTTCCAACTTCTGAAGGGAGCACCTTCACTCTATGAATATCTCTAACCTGGGGTCTCATAGAGTCAGCTGCTCAAAAAAAAACCACGAGATAAGGGACAGGCAGGGCAACTGTCCCAGCACCAAAGGAGACTAAGCTTTGAGGCTCCCACAGTACACTGACATGGTTGCAGTTTTGAAAATGTGCAGAGGACGACATTTTAGCCATGTGTGGCTGGGATCTTATCCCTTTCCACTTGATATCATCACCCTCCTGGCAATTAGTGGTGCTAAGAGACCACGGCAGACAGGCTTCATCCTGGAGCCTCAGATGGAGATGTATTAACTCAGAGCTGTGAGAGATGGCCACCAGCTGGGTGTGGTATGGATCACTGTAAGGCAGCAGGCTTCCTTCCCTTGGCTCGCTCCATTCTGGAATGGATAGCAGAGTGAAGACATCCTGTCATGATCCGCACCCCCCACACAAGCCAGAGCACATGTTATTTGGGTTGCACAGGATCTAGACACAAAAGAACTGGTCTCCAAATCATACAGCTCCAGTTTCGGAATCCTAAAGGTCCTCTATGTCCCTGGGACCAAGCTGGGGAGGAAAGGCAACTTTTGACACATCCTGGAAACAGGCTGCATCTGCCACACCAGGAGAAGCAATTCCAGTCACATGAAGGGCTGATGAGCTAGAACCCAGCAGGCAACATGGAGAGGGACCACAGACTAGGGCGTTGCTCAGTGCGGCTGGCACCCTAGGGTGTTGGGAAGTAGCTCAGCGGCCACACTGCTCAGCACATGTAAGAAGACCCTGCGTCTGGTCCCAGCACTGCAAAAGAGAAGGCACCGGCAGTCTGAATCTGCATTTATTTGCCCACTTTGTAAAGGTTGGGGTTTGGTCATTTTTAATCTTTCCTTCATCCATCTTCAGAAACACATCAGAATTTGTCATGTTCATTCTCTTTTTCCTAAAAGAGCATGACCCTGGGACCATCGATGAAGGTTTCAGGCCTCGCAATCAGGTTGGCGATGGGACACCAATCTTGGGTCTTCAGGTGCCATGTGGAGCAGCTGGCTTTCAGGGACATGTGACCAGGTCCCCTGCACCTTGTCCGCTCGAAGCCCCGACCAGCAGATGGAGGCTTCCGGCTGCCAGGAATGGAGCTGTGGGCTGGTGGCTCTTCTCCCCTCCTCACCTGCTCACCCTCCTTGTGGCCTCAGCTTCAAGTGTCTGCCCTGAGCTGCTCTTGGTGTCTACACTGTGTGAACCTCCGGAATCTCCTGCTAAGCTGGGCATAGCGGCACCCCATTGGCCCCCTTGCTTAGCTACCAGCAGGCACATGGGGTAAGGCAGGCCAAAAGGTTCAGGCCTTGAAGCAGAAACCAGACGTCAAAGTTATAAAGTGTCCAGGGCCTGTTGATGGCACCTTCACCCGGTGCATGTGGAGTCCCTGGCAGGCTTGATACGTTGGGTTGATGGCCTGTCTGGCCACACAGGGGTTTAGAGTCCACAGAAGCCAGTGGCTGGTCACTTAAGCTCCTGTCACCCAGCCTTGGGACAGAGGGACATGTACCGCTCTGTATTCAGAACGTGTAAATTCTTCTTGCCTCCCTGGTAATGTGGTGGGACACAGCTGTGCAAGGCACTGAGACGGGGAGATCCAGTCACACATGCCACTCTGATTCTGTGGCTCCGCTCTGGACATGAGGTCTGGGGTCTGCAGAGATCAAGCTTTGCCTTAGCTGACCTGTGGTCACAATGTCTGACCTTCAGTACTGAAAAGGGGATGGTGTATTGTCCTAAATCGACGCATTGATCTTTTCACAGATCCTGGTCCTGGAGGCTTCCTCTTGGCCATGGTCAGGACCCCTCTTGACCTAAAGATAATGGAGGAGCAAGGAGCTACCCTGCCTCCAGCCTTACCTTCCTCTTACCCCTCTACCTGCACCCCATTTATTGGCAAAGCCAGTTTCAGTGGACAAAGGGGTCACCCTCTGGTGATGGCCAGCCATATCCTGGTTCCCTTCATGAGGATGCTTGGGCTCCTAAGCAAACCCCCGAGGCCTGCTCTCCTTTCGCAATCCTCCTGTATCCCCTGCCACAGAGCAAGCCCCTCCTAGATGCCCTGATGGAGGACCCTCTGGGGACTTCCCAGGCGCTCTGGCAGCCTCATCAGCCCGATTCCCCTCTCATCTCAGGCTCAGCTCTGCTGGCTCCCATTCTGTAGAGGCCAACCTGAGCAATGGGGGACAGGGGAAAGATAAAACCCTCACCTGGCTGTTCCTCTGTAAGTAGCCAGGCCCAGTGTCCCCATAGGCCTGCGTGTTGTGTGTCTGGGTGTCTGTGCCAGCCTGGTAAAGCTGAGGCACATCCCAGACCATCTGAGAATCAAGAAATGGAGTTATGGTGCTAAAACCATTTATTTCCTGGTAGCGTGCCCTCTGCAGCTACACACGGTGCCAACAGCAGGTGGATCTGCTGGTCCTCCTCCAAGCATGCCACAGTGAGGCCAACCTCTGCTGCCCCGGCATCCATGTTGGAAATGGACTCAGGCTGGACTAAGTTCCAAGAGCTCTACCAGCTACTCACAGCTCTACAGAGAGGAGCCTGGGGGCCTGCCACCATGTCCCTTGCATGTGGACTTCTTGTCACTTATGCCCAGCCTGGGACCTCAGCTCCCTAAGGAGGTTGAACTATGAACACACGTGTCCTTGGTGCATGTGTCCCTGGTACTACGCTGACTCTTGTAGGCCTCACACAGCCTGTATTGATGCTCTGGGTTTCCACCTCCGTCACACAGCTGGGGGAATGGGAATGGGACTTTCAATGGTCTGGGACACAGAGCTGGGAGCAGGTTCTGGAACCTTAATGTGCAGATCCTGGACCTCACTCTGCATCCTGAGGTGACAAGCTCAGCCTGCCTTACAGTCTCTGTCTCTGTCTCTGTCTCTGTCTCTGTCTCTGTCTCTCTCCTCTCCTCTCCTCTTCTCTCTCTCTCTCTCCCCTCTCTCTCCCTCTCCTCCTCCTCCTCTCTCTCTCTCCTCTCCTTCTCTCTCCCTCTCCTCTCCTCTCCTCTCCTCTCC